TTGGAGTGTGGTGCGGGGGTGCGGATTGCATGGTGGGGCCAGAAATGAGGGGTTGGAGTGTGGGGGGGAGGGGGTAAGAGCTCCAGCTGGGGGTGCAGGCTCTGATGTGGGGCCAGGGATGAGGGATTTAGGGTGCAGGAGGGGGCTCCGGGCTAGGGCTGAGAGGTTCGGAGTGTGGGAGGGGGATCAGGGCTGGGGCAGGGGAGCGAGGAGGGGAGGTGAGTGCTCCAGCTGGGGGTTCAGACTGTGGGGTGGGGCTGGGGATGAGGGATTTGGGTGCAGGAGGGTGCTCCAGGCTGGGATTGAGGGGTTCGGATGGTGGAAGGGGGATCAGGGCTGGGGTTTGGGGCCCAGGAAAAGCCCAGGAGTGCAGGGTCCAGGCGGCGCTTACCTCAAGCAACTCCCAGAGGCAGCAGCATGTCCCCCCCTCCAGCTCCTATGTGGAGGCACGAACGGATGGCTTTGTGCCCTTCCCTGTCCACAGGCGCCGCTCCCGCAGCTACCATTGGCCGCGGGTCCCAGCCAATGGGAGTTGCAGGGGTGGGGGCCGCATGCAGAGCCCCCGGCTGCCCCTACGTGTAGGAGCCAGAGGGGGGACATGCCAGTTGTTTCCCAGGAGCCACATGGAGACTAGCAGGGAGCCTGCCAGCCCTGCTGCGCGGCGCCGCCAACCGGCCAGTCAACGACCCAGTCAGCGGTGCTAACCGGAGCCGCCAGGATCCCTTTACGACCGGCTGTTCCGGTCGAAAACCGGACACCTGGTCACCCTAGTTCCAATCCAACTCCCACTGACTTCAAAGGAGGTTTGATTGAGCCTCAAGTGCATATCTCATAAGAGCAACACTTACAGGTTCTGCAAGAAATAGAAGTGTAATACTAATAAAATGTATATATTAAATCCCTTGAAAATTACTTTTTTCAAATAAAGGGAAATTAATGTAAAAAACCATATGTTCATGCACATTAAGATTGAGTCTTGCGTCTGAAGAAGTGAGGTTCTTACCCACGAAAGCTTATGCTCCCAATACTTCTGTTAGTCTCAAAGGTGCCACAGGACCCTCTGTTGCTTTTATTAAGGTTGAGGATTCAAAAGTTAAGGTTCCCACAGCAATATCTCACACATGTAGAACCTCCTACTTCTGTTTTTGCTATTAATTTTATATCTTCCATTATAATTTGTCTTGGAAATATTTTTTACCATAAAACAAATGGACACTATGTGCAACATGGCCAAATTATACTGCTATAGGAACTTTAAAAGTTTGAAGATCAAACTTTCTGTGCTTATGACTCAATTTCTATATTGTAAAATGTTTTATAGTTGTTTTTTTAATGTATATAGTGTATGATTTTTTTTTTAAAACTTCCCATGATAGGGTTGCCAGTTTTGGTTGAATGTATTCATGGAGGTTTCATCACATGACATAATCTTTAATTCCTGGAGACTCCAGGACAATCCTGGTGGGTTGGCAACCCTATCCCATGATAAGAGACCCCAAAAAATCATCTTAAAATTAACCCTCATGCGAGAAAAAAAATTGGGAAAAATCTGAAATTCTCAACCTGTCTTTTGGCTTTCAGGTGCCCAAGTTGACATGGGTAAGAAAAGTCAGGCAGATCAAGTAATGAGGATTCTCCATGTGTGGGTCTGGTGCCAAAAACCTGTTCAGCTTATAGACTGCAACTGTGGGAGTTGTGGGGGTTCCTTAATCAGGATTTATATTTACTAGGGCAGTCGATTAATCACAGTTAACTCACACAATTAACTCAAAAAAATTAACTGCGATTAAAAAAAATAATCATGATTAATCGCATTGTTAAATGATAGAATACCAATTGAAATTTATTACATATTTTTGGATGTTTTTCTACATTTTCAAATGTATTGATTTCTATAACAACACAGAATACAAAATGTACAGTTCTCACTTTATATTATTTTTTATTACAAATATTTGCACTGTAAAAATTATAAACAAAATAAATAGTATTTTTCAAGTTATCTCATACAAGTAATGTAGTGCAATCTCTTTATCGTGAAAGTGTAACTTACAAATGTAGATTTTTTTTTGTTACATAACTGCACTCAAAAACAAAACATTGTAAAACTGTATAGCGTACAAGTCCACTCAGTCCTACATCTTGTTCAGCCAATTGCTAAGACAAACAAGTTTGTTTACATTTACAGGAGATACTGCTGACTACTTATTTACAATTTCACCTGAAAGTGAGAACAGGCGTTCACATGGCCCTTTTGTATCCGGCGTTGCAAGGTATTTACGTGCCAGATATGCTAAACATTTGTATGCCTCTTCTTGCTTCGGCCACCATTCCAGAGAACATGCTTCGATGCTAATGATGCTCGTTAAAAAAATAATTCACTAATTAAATTTGTGACTTAACTCCTTGGGAGAAAATTGTATGTCTCCTATTCTGTTTTACCCACATTCTGCCATATATTTCATGTTATAGCAGTCTCGGATGATGACCCAGCACGTTTGTTTTAAGAACACTTTCATTGCAAATTTGACAAAACACAAAGAAGGTACCAATGTGAGATTTCTAAAAATAGCTACAGCACTGGACACAAGGTTTAAGAATCTGAAGTGCCGTCCAAAATCTTAGAGGGACGAGGTGTGGAGCATGCTTTCAGAAGTCTGAAAAGAGCAGCACTCAGATGCGGAAACTACAGAACCCTAATCACCAAAAAAGAAAATCAACCTTCTGCTGGTGGCATCTGACTCAGATGATGAAACTGAACGTGCGTCAGTCCGCTCTGCTTTGGATCGTTATCGAGCAGAACCCATCATCATTAGCTTGGACGCATGTCTTCTTGAATGGTAGTTGAAGCCTGAAGGGACATATGAATCTTTACTGCATCAGGCATGTAAATATCTGGCAATGCCAGCTACAACAGTGCTATACGAACGCCTGTTCTCACTTTCAGGTGACATAGTAAACAAGACATGGGCAGCATTATCTCTTGCAAATTGTAACCAAACTTGTTTGTCTGAGTGATTGGCTGAAGTAGGACTGAGTGGACTTGTAGGTTCTAAAATTTTACAGTTTTATTTTTGAATGCAGTTATTTTTTGTGCATAATTCTACATTTGTAAGTTCAACTGTCATTATAAAGAGATTGCACTACAGTACTTGTATAAGTGAATTGAAACATACTATTTCTTTTATTTTTTTACGATGCAAATATTTTGTAATAAAAAATAAATATAAAGTGACCAATGTATACTTTGTATTATGTGTTGTAATTGAAATTAATATATTTGAAAATGATAGAAAACATCCAAAAATATTTAAATAAATGGTATTCATTATTGTTTAACAGTGTGATTAAGCGCAATTATTTTTTTTAATCATGCGATTCATCGCCATTTTTTTAATCGCTTGACAGCCCTAGTATTTATTGCTTTGTGCTCAAGCCCACTCTGTGGGGCAGAACTTCT